ATGGTAATAGTGAATAGATGAAACATAACGGCTTCCTTGTCTTCCGGTATTTATTGAACGAAACCGCTCGAGTTCGATTCTACGTCAATCATAGATTCCCTATTAATTTTATAAGAATTAAAAATGATTTCCATAACACCATTTTTGAAATTCACAATATTCTTTGTTCTTTGGGTATCGATGGTTCGGTTCGGTCGGTTATTTTATAAAATTGGTACCATATAGTTACACCCCATATTTTCGTATGCGAGAGTACATCGTAGTCAATTGATATAAGCTCAAAAATGAGATCATATTTAAAAATACATAAAGCAAGTTAATTATGTTATCGTGGAGGTTACAAATATTTAAGATCATGAATAACAAGTACAAAGAGGGCTGGAAGGCGTAGAAGCTAAACGAATTGAAGAAAATAAGCTTCGTCGAAAGTCGACAAGTTGGGAATATTATGACATGTACTTTTGGGGTGAGACTAGGGTACTTAACTTTATAAGGAGGTTATGTGTTGAGTTTTTTAGTCGTATGATAGCCGCGTGCTATGTTTTAAAGTCAAGCGAGTTGTGGAACAAAAGTTGGCAAAGGTAATCACAAGTTACATTCATAAATGCTCTGAAAATTAGGTGAATGTAGAAGAGCTTTTCTCTCAATATAATAAGAATTACGTGTGATCCACCTATCAAATTGAATATGTACGGGTCTAGTTTCTAATGAATTAAACTGTTCGTCGATACAACATTGTAGTACAGAGATATTCACATTTTCTCAAGGCTACACAGACTGGTAGGTGACAAGTAGGTGTGTCACCTACTTGTTTAAATGAGAAGGGATCAAATAAATCCCCCAAAAGAGGCGGCCAAGGGGCCTTTTAAGGGCTGAATGAAATCATTTCTTTCACTTGTTTCTCAAACTAAGAACTTCAGATTGAAACTCTGCAACTCCTCCCCAAAAATCTCACACAAACCCTAGGTGATTTCGGGTGATACGAAGTGATTCTAGTGCCAAAAAACCCGGACGACTTGCTAATTTCCCTTTCTCCTACTTGTAGCTGCGTTGAGGGACTGGTTTTAGATGAAGAGGGACTAGGTTTCGTGGGTTCTACTTATTCCAAGGTAAGTTTGTACTTCTCTTTCCCTTATTTAAGCTTTTACGAGTCGTAGCTCGATCGTAAAGACTAGCACTTGCGAGTTTCGAAAGAGTATTATGCAGTTTCTTGTGGCGTCACTATTGGTTGGTTGAGAACTTAATTTTAAGTTGAATTCATGTCTGTTTTATACTAGAAGAGGCTTAATTATGTACTATTAGTTGTGTTTCTCAATTTGAAAAAAAAGATAAGTCGGAGACGTATTTTAGTAATTTGAAAAATAAGTTTTGAGTTGCTTTACTTGTAGGACTCTTATGATTTTTTTTAAACTATTATTCTGGCTGAAAATTAGTAGAGATAACTTAATACATGGCGGTTAATGTTGATGATAAATTTTTAGAAGGAAAAAGGGGTTTAAAACTATAGTTGTTTAGTCACAAACTGAGCTTGCCGCTCGTCGGTATTGTTAAACTGTTTTGAAAGGCTTATTATAAGTACTGCTGATGTTGTTTGGGCTATTGTTGGATGTTGTAACTTTTGTGAATTTATATAAACAGGGGAAGTGTTGTTCGTTTTATCGTAGAATAAAGTGTGTCGTTCAAATGCGATAGTTATGGCATTCATATTGTGACGATAGTATTGTTTATTGCTTGTAGACAAAGGAGTTGCAGGTTAAGTTAGCTTGAGGATTGGACTGGATATTATAAGGTATATAAGGTCTTCTTTTCTTTTATTTGTCATGATTTCGTAAGTTACGTTGCCCTTATAAGGAATTCGTGGGGGCGAGTCTTTGTATATGTATTATTTCGACGATTAAGGTCCATTCACGAGTCTACAAATAGCCATACGAATGTTAAAATGGATTGTGTTAGTTGATGTATCATGTATTCTTAAGGAGTAAATAGAGCCTACCAAAAGGTCCTTGTCTTCTATATGTAACAAGACGTCTAGATGTGAATTAAAAATTATGCACGAATGGTCTAACAAATCAAAAACAATATAGAGTCCGTATATTGAGGGATAGTTGTACACGAATAGTTCAAAAAGGTAGCATAATGTATAGTTTACTGAATGATAAGAATGACTTGACCTAAGGAATGCCATGATTTGCAATACTTACACGTTTGTGTTTACAAAACTGATAAAGATCCGCGAAGATAGTTATGCTGCTCACAAGTTAAGAAAGATTGATTATATAAGAGGGTGATTTTAAGAGACGATATACGCTATTTATGGCGTTGCAAACTACAGAATATGAGTAGTTTAGCAATAAGAATGTAGTTGATAGAAAGTAACTCCCGTAGTTCTTGTTACATATTGATGAATGGATATGTATATGTATAGTGAGTATCCTCATAAGCTAAGCATATTACTTAGCTATAAGTAGACAGAATCATGTAATCCCCATAAACGAGTTGTGATGTGAAATAAGGATAAAAATGCGATTCTAAAATAGTTCCAACGTTCTTTACGCCTAATAATATAGAATACGAAGGATAACGTAACAAGCAGCTAAGGAATAAGGATTTGTTACTATAATAAGTTACTCACAAACTTATATGGTTATGAATACGAGTTTATCTATTGATGATTGAATGATGTCTGCATGAGTGATATTTAGTAAGTATGTATAAGACATGATCCCTACGGACGGTCTATGAACGCGTAGGTGCACAGTGAAGCCCTACGGACGGTCTATGAACGTGTATGTGCATAATGAAATTTGGTTATGGACGGTCTTAGTTGCATCATGCATGCATAGCTAGACCTCGATATTGTGAGCCGTACAGATGGTCTACTATATTACGCGTACGAGCCATTGTTATTCATGTTTATGAGTGAGCCTTACGGGCGGTCTCTTATGAAACGCGTAAATGACACTTTTATGTTTCAGTGTAGCCCTAAAGATGTTTGATCTGTCTAAGATAGCATATGGAACAAGTTCAAGTATATCATCACGTGAATTAGATGTATATATGACAATCGCAACAATAGATGTTCTCGGCCAACGGAGCCTTCCCTTTTCAGTCCACATCCTTTGTAAGGTAAGCTGGATAATTCAATACTTAGATATGTTACGAGTCAGAATAAGGTAAGTATGATTCCCGGATTTCATTGACCCTCTAGATTACTTTTAGTATATCATATATACATGTCAGTTCACTTTCAGTTCAGTTATTCTTATATTATCTGCCTTACATACTTATTACATTTCTTTGTACTAATGTCCTATCGTTGGGGCATTGTATTCATGCTTGTAGGTTCAAGTATCTAGTTTGACGGGCTCTTATCATAGAAGGAGTTGATATTCAGCTGAGGATTGACAAAGCTCCATTTCATCCAGAGTACAGCCGAGTCTAGAGGTTATTAGATTGTCCAATGTATATAGACACACTTATGGGTAGGTCAGTGTCCTGTCCTGACCATATTTTGATGTCAGGTACTCTTAGAGGCTTCGTAGACTCAGGTTCAGTGTGTACAACATGGCAGAGGCCTTGACGGCCCGTGTGTATCCACGTTCCGAGTACGATAGCTCGTTGATACACCATTTTCCCACTTACAATTATACATTACGAGTTGTGGCCATGTTGGCCCATGATAGTGAAAGAATGAGTTTAGCCAAGTCGGCCTATGTATGTTCTAGTTTTTGTTAAACAATCATGTAGAGTGGTTCTCTCGAGGCAGTACGGTACCGAGTGCCAGCCATGCCTCGCCTATGTTGGGGTGTGACACATATCAATTTTTTGATTATTTTATTTTGTATAATCAAAATAAGACTTGGTCCCAATCATTTTAATTTTTTTCAGTATCGGTACGGTTCAGATAATTTTTATTTTTTTAATGCCATGTAAGAGTAGCTGCTAAAAGTAATTAAGAACCTAATAATTATATAGGTACTTGCATAGGAATTTGACAAAACTCTCTAGATTTTTTCTCTTTGAAATGTGATGAATGAAGGGGGCATGAAAGACGTCCAAAATAGAGATTCATAACACTATTCTACATCAATGTAAAAGAAATTAAGTAAAAACAAAAGGAATATAAATCACGCGAATTGGAAGATATAACCAAAGCTGGACTTAAGAATAGAGTCGATTAAAAGATTAAGTATCCAACAAGAATAAATTTAAACTATACGAGAGAGAAGATATTTAATACCTTGTGGCTTTCCACTCAAGATCATTGGAATGCTTTGTGGCGTACTACTTATGTATGTTGTACTGAACTAATGTAGTTTCAATAGGCGTAACATAATAAGTTTGGAGTTGGGACTTTCAACTTTAATTACTTGTTATTTTATAACAGTTTCCATAATCATAACGCCCAAGGAAAAAATTTGTGCTTAGTTATTTTTATTTTTTTAAATAAAAATTTATTCAGAATGGTTTGGTATGTTTTTGATTTATATTTTTATAAAATATAAAACATACCTTAATTATTTTATATAATTATAAATTTATATAAAAACTTATGACTTTAATAAAAAAATTACTTAATAATCGGTTCAGCATAATTGAGTTTGATCAGTTTTATCGGATTTTAAAAATCTATTGTTCCCCGTTACTATGTACAAAATCTTTTTGTGGTGAGCTCTCTAGATATTTCCGCTTTGATTCCACACATTCCCAAGGAAACCCTTTATTCTGGATTGAGCTTGTGCTGGCCAAATTGTGACCTTTTGCACTTTTTCATTTTTTAAAATTCGGTCCCATAAGAATCCATGAGAAGATATTTTACAAATTAAACTTATCCCAATTCTCCTTCTAAGAGCGTGGCCAAAAATCCTGCACTCTTTTCTCACTCCTGTCTTGTTCGCCCAGTTTGTCTTATTCACACATCGTGACTCATCTCTGTTTTGACTCCAAATAATATCTAAGGTCTGCACTTTTCCCTGAACTCTATATAAAGGACAAAAACTTGTAGAAAAATATCTAACACTTTTACATCTACACTTTTTCATATCATAATCTTCATTAGTTCTTGAAATTTAAGCATGGCAGACACCTCTAATAACCTCAACCGCCACCATCAAACCTTGGCCAAATCCCACTCCAGCCGTAAGACAAATAGTCATCGCGTCCGTAGTAGGGCCGATAGCTTTGCCATGGAAACCTTCACCGAAGAGCGCGGTTACGATGACTTCAGTATGGAGGAAGGTGACTCCGAGATGTGCAGCTCATTTTCCAACAATTATAGAGAGGTGCAGTCGGTGTTGGATCGAAACAGATTGTTGATTCAACAAGTTAACGAGAATCATCAGTCGAGAACGCACGATAGTATGGTGCAGAACGTGGGCCTAATTCAGGAGCTCAACGGCAACATATCAAAGGTTGCTTCTCTCTATTCTGATTTCAATACTGATTTCACAACCATGGTTTACCAGCGGAAGAACGGCGTTTGAGAAAAGACCAATAACAAGCATAGCCACTACAGAGGCTTTTTTAAGTTTCTATTTTTAATCTATTTGCAATGGCATATTAACTTTCTTCTCTCCAGCAAATTGGATTAAAAATTCTGGGTTGAAATATTGGAATACGCCCGAACCGTGTGTCGGTCTAGCTAAGAATTGTTTTATAACCTCCTCATTCTTTTCATAGAATATATCCACCAAACTGTATAAAGACCGGGTCCTATATAGATTTTCACAGATAACGCTAATGCAACCGTAAGTAAATGTAACATGCAACTTTTACGTGGTAAAATCCCTGCTTAAGGAGATTAAAAAATCACGACCTAGACTAGTAGGATTTTAACTTCACTATGAGTAACTTTAGATTATAACCTATGCAATCCAGGAATTAAACTCTTAATTCCTCAATAACTTGTAATACACCTATTACAAGCCATTTTACAATACATTTATTACAAAGACTTCAATTCATGACTAACTCTAATCACGAAACAAATACTAAAGGTTTATGGTTTACAAAGGATTCCTAATTAAAGCTTCTAAATAAGCAAAGTAGGGATGACAATGAAGAACAATTACAAAGTTACAACTCAACTAAGGACATACAAGAGACTCGTTATAGGAATTGGTATGTAGTAGTGTTGTACTTTGTTCTTGATGTACTTGAGAATTGAATGCTTGATTGTCAGATGCTTAGAATGCTTGAATGAATTCTTAAGTGTTCAAGTGATGTTTAATTTGTTGTGCTGTTTATTGTTAATACAACTTGGATGACATCACTTGAATGATGTAGTCACTTGGTTGGTATAAGGTCCTTCCCAATGAGAAGTGACTGTTGCACTGTACTGAACTGTTTGCGTGTTCAGTACAGGCAATCACTTTCCAACTGTAGAGAGTTGATTTCGTACTGTTGTCAGGAGAACCCATCAGGTCCCTGTGTTGATTCTTTATCTTCTGAAGTTATAGCAACTCAAATAAGCTTGAATCCGTTGATTGAGTTGTGTACCAAGTGTATCAGGTTCCTTATCTGATATTTTGACAGTAAGTTTGTTAGATCATCGAAACATGAAGCTAAGGTACTATAAACCCATCAGCTCTATCATCAAGAAAACTTTCTTATGAGATCAAACATTGACAAATATATATATTACTCCATCTGTTCCAGTTTATGTGAACCTATTTCCTTTTTGGTCCGTTCCGAAAAGAATGAACCCTTTCTAAATTTGGTAATAATTTAGTTTAAAGTTACAATTTTATCTTTAATGACAAGGTTTTATAACCACACAAATACTATGGGCCCCTTTTTGACTTGTTTAGGACCACAATTCCAAAAGTCTTTATTTTTTCTTAAACTTCGTACACAGTCAAACAGGTTCACATAAATTAGAACGGAGAGAATACTTATTTTATACTTTATTTCGGGTGACATGCTTTACTGAACGTAAAGTTTTAAAATACTAATCACATGTTTCACATACGTATAGTGCCAAAATTACTTTATTACTATTGTCTCTGTTTTAATTGAAGTGAATATACTTCTTGTCCAGTCCGTTTAAAAAAATAATCCCTTTTTAAATTTTAAATACTTTAACTTAAATTTTTTATGTTATTTTTAATGAGAAGTTTTTATAGTTCCCGTAAATTGGCATGTTTAAGCGAGTTTTAATTTTTTTGTTTTACTTTTAATTTCGTGTTCAATTAAAAAGATTCACGTAAATTAAAACGGAGGAGCAACAATTGAGTGAGAAATATCAAGAATTCCACATGTACTTCATATTACCTTTTTTAAATTCACATTCCTTATCAACTAAATGGAAGTGACTGAGAATAGACGAGACTGGTTAATTGTTATGGACTAATATTTCGAACTAAAATGGATTTCAAACCCACCGCTGGTACGTTTCTCATTACGACGAAGTTGTCTTATCGAAGAGATGGATGGTCGGAGGATTGTCTCTATGAGGCTGAGAAAGAGGGCGAAGAGGATGGTGGTGTAGGCAATTAAAATTTTGTGGAATTTAAATTCATAAGAAATTTGGATTTAATCTCAAATTAAATATATTTTGAATTCAAATAAATATTATGGGCTAATATAATTGAATTAATTAATTAAATCCAATGAATAGTGACTGGACTAGTCCATTTAGTTGTGCTACAAATGATGAACTCACTTCATTAGGCCCAATATGTCATCTTCCTAGCGGCGCAGCTTGGTGCCACATGTCAAATGACATGGCACGCCAAGTCAAATGGAAGAGCAAATAGGATCGTGCCACATGTCAAAATGACAAGGCATGCCAAGACAAATTAAAAGGCCAATGAAATCGCGCCAAATGTGCAAGTAACATTTTCACGCCAATCAAATGTGGCCTTGTCATTCTGCAATCTGATCGGTCGGAAGGAGTTTGTTCTCATCACAACTCTTCCCTCCCACAACTATAAATAGGGATCTTTATAACTCAGAAAAGACACAAGAAGTTATAACAAGAATCAAGAGAGAGCTCGTGGATCAAACACTACATATTTCTCTAAAAACTACAAGCATTCAAGTGTTCTAAGGATTAAAAGAACAAGACGAAGATTAAAGAACAAGCTGCAAGCCCTTGGATTAAAAATACGTCAAGATCAAGATCAGACGTCAAGCATTCAGATTAAAATAAAATAAAATCCAAGATTAAGCTCGAAGGCTATTTTATTTACTAGTGGAAAGAAGAATAAGAGGATTTATAGAGATTGTAACACTCATATTGTTTGAAATAAAATACTACAGTTGTTGCAGTACTTTTTCGATCTCTAATATTTTCTTGACGCAAATTTATTGTTTATAAATTCTGGAACGCTCAGTGGGACAATCTCTACCTCTCACCTCAACTTTTTAATCACCAAAGCACAAAAATATCGAAATGGCTTCAAAGAAAATCAACTCCAGATTAACTTCAACCAAGGTTGCTAATTCCGAGTTTTATACTGATGCGGAAAGCATCCTCGATATTACCTTTGGAAGCTTTGGGAAAGTTACAAGGAGCAAAGCAAACTCTTTAGGACGACAAACACTCCAAGTGTCGTCCCCATCAACCCTTATTTTTGAATATTCATCCTCAAAAGGAGCAAGATCCTCTACAAGTTCGACCCAAAAAGAGAACGATGTTGCCGAAAGGATCAAAGAGGTTCTTGCTCAACTTAGTTTATCTAGGTCCAAGAAACCTTTCAAGCAAGCCGATAATGATGATTGAGCGTTGGATCTCCCCTAGCCTTCATTAATGCGACTTCTAAGCTCTATCCCAACAATGATCCATATTATTATTCATCCTCTACGGCAATCATGCAAGAAATGGATATTGAAGCTTCTACTGTAGAAGAATAACTTGCAAATTTGACGAAAGCAATTGAAAGCTTATCAAAGCGCGTGCAAGATCAATATGCTAAACTTTTCAAGTTAACAAATACATTGGATAGCATAGTAGAGGGAGAATCCACACAAACACCTTTAAATCTTCAAAGTTCACAAGAGAAAAAAGACTCCTCCGAAAAGCAAGCAACAACAACCAAGGAGATCCAAATCTCTGTTGAAGGTCTGATTCCCGTTGAGAAATTAAAGGACTTCATCATAACGGCTATCAAAGATAATCCTGTGTCATTTTCAAAAATATCTCTCACATATTCAAAGTCGTATACCCAAAGAATTGATAACTTGAAAATGCATGTTGGTTATCAACCTCCTAAGTTGCAACAATTCGACGACAAGGAAAATCTGAAACAACATGTAGCGCACTTTGTTGAAACTTGCAACAGTGCTGGAACGTATGGTAATTATCTTATCAAAGAGTTTGTTCGATCTCTCAAGGTAATGCATTCAATTGGTACACAGATCTCGAATCTGGTTGAATCGATAGTTGAGGGCATTTAGAGCATGAGTTTCTCAATCATTTTGTGAATACCTAATTTTTGCACCCATATAATCCTAAAAAAAAGAGAAGATAATTTTAGAACAATATTAGCTTCCTTGTAATTAATTTTCTCATATTTTGTGCATTTTTGTTGCATTTTATTTCATAAATATATCAACAAAAAAATATTTCTTTTATCTTTTGTTTAAGCATTCTAGTTTGCATCATTAAGTTGTATATACCAAAAAAAAAATTCTTTTTAATTGTGCATTTGTAGGATTAAATTAGAGTTATGATAATTAAACCAATTGAATTTTTATTGAAAATGGGCCAAAATCAGACCACTAGTGGCCCAGTTGCTTCAACCCGCTCAGCCATCAAGACCCTAACCAGACGTGCCAAAACGACATCGTCTTGGTTAAGTGGCTGAGGTTAAATCTCAGCCACCCATCTTGTTTTGATCCAAAGGCTCAAGATTAATCCCCCACTCAGGTATTTAAACCCCTAATTCCCTAAAATTTTGCCCCATTTCCCCTTATTTCCCCTTCTTCTTCTTCTTCTTCTTCTTCTTCTCCTTCTTCTTCTCCTTCTTCTTCTCACTCTCTTCTCTTCTCCTCAAGACCTAGCCGCCGCCACCCATCTCCACCGGTCGACCACCACCAAATACCACCCAATATATACCAATCTTTTCCTCTATTTACCCTTGTCCTAATCCGAGCCCCAAATCTTCAAAAACTCCTCTAAATTCCGTGAAATCGAAACCCTAGATAGCTGCCTCTTATTTCCTCTTCGATTTTACGGTGAACCGGCCACCACACACCCACAAAACCTATATTAACATGTAGACACTTCCCCATAATCTCACCCAAAAAAAAGCGCCGCCTCCAGCCAGCCGCCGCTGAGCCTCCGTAGTCTCTCTTTCTTTTTGACACAGTGCTGGACTCAACTTGGTTCGCCAGAGTTTGTGTTTTTCGATATTTGTCGTCGAGAAAAGAGGCGTGGAGGTCTATTAACCGTCTATTTGTGTCGTACTTCTGGTTCGAATCCTGAGCATTTAGGTAAAACACTAATCTTTTCCTCTGTGTTTCTGATTTACTGTTTTAATATATTTTATTGTAGTTTTCTTATCAATTTAAATTATGTTAGTTGTCGTCCTAGTCTAACGCTTAATATAGTTTCTGTTTCTTTAGGGATTAGAATTAGGTTTTAATTTGTGTTCTATGTCTATGCTTTTTCCTAATCATGTAATTCATGCTTTTTGATTTTGTTAAATTAGGATAGTTGTTCTAGTTTAGTTTCAATAAAACACTAGCTCGTATCGATTCTCGTTGTTTAAAGTTTTAGTTAATATCAATTAATTATTGATTTTTTGGTCTTGATTACCTGTTTGGTTTAGTTACTATGAGTTTTAGTTACTTTGATGTTCTAATTA